ATGAAAGAAATAGATGAGGGAGATTAAGAGGGACAAACTTCCAGTTACTAAATAAATGTCACAGGTATGAAATGTACAGTGTGGGGAATACAGTCAATAATAATGTAATAACTTTATGGTGACAGATGGTAACTAGACATCATGGTGATCATTTTAGAAGGTATAGAAATACTGATCACTATGTTATAGCTAATGATACTGAGTTATATACTTGAAAGTTGCTAAGAGAGGAAATCTTAAATGTTCTCACCAACAAAAAAAGAAATGGTAATTATGTGATGGGATGGAGGTGTTAGCTAATACTATGGTGGTAATAATTTTGCAATATAAGTGTATCAAATCAACATGTTGTACACCTTAAACTTACATGATGTTATATGTCAATTCTATCCCAATAAAGCTGGAGAAAAAAAAAAAGAAATACTGAGCACTATGTTGTACACTAGGAACTAACAGTGTTGTGGGTCAATTACACTTGAAAAACAAACAAACAAATAAACACACTTATAGAAAAAGAGGTCAGATTTGTGGTTATCAGAGGTGGAGGTTGTGGGGTGGGGGAATTGGATGAAAGTGGTCAAAAGGTACAAACTTCCAGGTATAAGATAAATAAGTGCTGGGATGTAATATACATCATGATTAATATAATAAACTCTCTTGTATGTTATATGAAAATTGTTAAGAGGGTAAATCCTAAGAGTTCTTATTATAAGGAAAAATATTTTTCTATTTCTTTAATTTTATACCTATATGAGATGATAGATGTTCACTAAATTTACTGTGATAATCATTTCATGATGTATGGAAGTCAAATCATTATGCTGCACACCTTAAACTTATACAATGCTGTATGTTAATCATATCTCAATAAAATTGGGGAAAAATGGCTTTAGTTTGGGAAGCTCTAATTTGAAGTCATTCTTCATGGGTGTACTATTTAGCAAGGCCAGTTGTCTTTTAATGTTATTATTGTTTTCATAACATCTAATCTATGTACAGGAGAAGGCTTTTAGTTCTCTATCATAGAAATTTGGGGAAAGGGGCATGCATCCAGCTCATCCAATAGAAATTTCAAGTCCTCTGCCTTTAAATTGGTCATGTCTTCCCAAGACTGGGCTTTGTCCCTTGAGCTGATGTAAAGGTCACTTCCTATATTTGTGAGGCTTGTCTATGGAGGCCATAGGGGCTCTGCCATAGCTCAGGGGGCTAATTCTGCATTCCCAGGTCCAGGATCCCTAAATACTTTCCCTTAGAGCCTGCCAAAGAGTATTGGGATCTTATGTTTGTAAGTTGACCTATCCCTCACATGGGAGCTGCTACTCAATAAGCTTCATTCCTACATAGAACCCTCCCAGTTGTGATTGTTCCAAAGTTTCAGGATCAGCCTTTTTCACAGGCAATATAGTACCTTACCTGTTAGGTGAGATCCTGACACGTGTAATCAGGGAATTACTTCATTTCATGTACACTAGAAGCATAAGAAGACCTTTGGCATACTAAAATATGTTGATGTTTCAAACAGTTCAGAGAAAGGTCTTTTGATGCTTAGGGAAGGTCAGACAGCTGATCAGATAGATCTTACCAGGGAAGCATTCATCCTTGCTATATAGTGCTCAATAAATATTCGTTGTATGTAGTAAACTGCTGGTACCCCTCCCAAATTTCCTTTACTGGATCCTTCTTACTACTGTGAGTGATGGCTGCTAAATCCTGGCCCTTTTGCCTCAAGGTGGGATCAACTCTATGGTACAATTCATGCTCCACAGCTCTCCATAAGATCAGGCTGAAGCTCCAAATAAGACCACATCTTATCAGCTACCTTCCCTGCTCTATCCTGCTTCCTTTATTGCCTTTCTCCTAAGAGTACTCTCCCAATAAATTATGCACTCAAATCCTGTTTCAGGGTCTGCTCCTAGGGAAACAGACCTAAGACACTGCATGAATAAAAAAATATAAAAATTCATCCATGTCCATGACCTGGAGACAATGTTATAATGCAAGCAAAGATATAGAAAATGATGACATGAAATCAGAGAGAGCAGAAGGGCCACACGGAGAGAATGCTTTTCTTGAGTGAAAAAAACAAAAAACCATAAAACCGGCAGAGGCAACTTCAAACCATCTTAGTAGCAAATGTCCCTGGCCATGCAGTTAGTAAGAACTATGTTATTTAGAGTCTGGACTTAGAACAGTTCCAGATCAAAGGCTAAGAATTCTTTGCTGTTGGCATTAATGTTTCTGGGACCTGGAGCTGGCTGCTTTGATAAGGACTAGTGGAGAAACAGGTGGCATGGGATTTCAGGTAGAACAGCCACAGTACCTTGGTGATAAGGAATAAGGAGTCCAACAGAAGTGCTTCCAGAGCTGCAGTGATCCCTTTCGTTAGGAGTGACTGGATATTATACCAGAACCCACTTAGTATTATATACAGATGACTAGCTATACATGATATTTGTATACATAATTATACAGCCATTCTTGATCAATTCTTAATCAAGTTTACCTCACAAGACTTGTTTTTGGCGGAAGCAAGTTACACAGTATTCTGGTAATCTATTGCTGTGTAACAAATTTAGTGCCTTAAAAAGTACACTTATTTATTTTGCTCGTGTACCTGTAATTTGGGGTGGGTTCAGCAGAGATGATACCCCTCTGCTTCATGAATGTCTGGGGCCTCAACTTGGAAGACTTGAATGTCTGTGGGCTGGCTTCCTCACAGCATGGCAGTCTTAGAGTAGCTAGACTTCTTTTAAGGCAGCTGGATTTCCCCAGTGCAAGTGTTCCAAGACACTCAGGAGGAAGCTGCAAAACTTCCTATGACCTAGACTCAAAAGTCTCAACACATCACTTCCATCATAGTCTACTGGTTAAACAAATCATTAAAGCCACCCCAGATTCAAGGAGTGGGGGGGTTAGTCCCCACCTCCCCACATAAATAGTGTAAAAGAATTTGTAGCCATCTTTAATGCACCATACAGAAACAGAAAGTGTAGTGGACTCTGACAACAATAGTAAAGGAGAAAGAAAATATCAATACTTCCCGTCACAAGAAAAGATTTTGTTTCTTAAGGACAAGATAATTTGAGCATGTTTGAAGGCTAAGGAAAAAGAATCAGAGAAGGGAGTAGGTTAAAGAAGTAAGAAAAAGAATGTTTGCTGCAGCAAGGTTTGAGAGCTTTGGAGAGCAGCCATACTGCTGCTGTGTAGATGCGAGCCATTTCCTGTTAACCTCAGGTGTTGGTAAAGTCACGTGAAACTTCACAGCCTGAGCTCAGTTTTGCTCTGGGGAGTGGTGGAATAGGCTGGTTCCACTTCTGGCCTGGAGGAGCAGTGCCTCCTGAGGCCAGAGCATGGCTCCATGTCAGCCTGTCCCATGGTAGGGCCATGTCTTCCATTTTCCTGTCTCATCCTGCACATCGCCATGTAGGAAACTGTAGCAAAACATAACCTGCAAACCAGAATGCCAGTGCTAGGGCCTAGGCTGAACAACGGGTTTCACGTAGGAATAGGAGGGATGTGTGGGTGGAGAGCTGGCTGTTGTGCAGTTCAGCTTCAGCAGGCTTAAGGGGATGCAGAATGAAGAAGGTCAGGACCTGGGTATGAGGTACATCGTAGAATTTTAGAATTCTGTGCTCTGTGAAGAGAAGCTTCACAGGTACATGAGGGCCTTTCTTTGTTTCCCATGGACTGCAAGGTGCCCAAACTATGAGATAGCTGCCATGGGAATATTCATCCCACCACAAGGCTTATGTCAGACAATGTTCTGGTTATCTATTGGCGAGTAACAAACCTCTCTAAAACTTGGAGGCTTAAAACAGCAACCAGTTTATAATTTCTCAGGATTTTGGATAAGGCATAGTAGGAAAGACTTCTCTCTGTTCTACATAATGTGGAACGGCTGAGATGGCTGGAACAAAGGCTTCTTCCCTCAGTGACTTTGTCCCTCAGCTGGGATGGGTCCACCAGGTTCCTGTGTCCGGGATCTCAGTTCTTGGTGATAACTGGGTTCCTACTTTTCCTCCATGTGGTCTCTCTGCAGCAAGGTGGAAGAGCAGCTGCAGCTCAGGACTATCAAGAGCTCAAAATCAAGATTTCTAGGTTGTTCTTAAAGGCTCAGAACTGGAACTGGCACACCATCACTTGCCCCACATTCTTCTTCAGTTAAATCGAGTCACAGGTCTGTCCAGATTCCAGGGTCAGGGACCACACAAGGTTGTACTGTCAGGAGGCATGTTTCACTGGGGGGCACCAAAGTAACAAACTACCTGACAAGAAGGGCTCCAGGGGCAGAACTGTGTGTGAGGGGGGGAGAGGGGGTATGCTCCTAATTTTATGTTCCTAATTTTATGCTGCCCTTTCTTCAGAGATGATTGGAGGGCAAATAGCGGGGAGCAAGGTAACCTCAAACTTCCTGTACAGGATTAAAGGTGTGTGGTCTGGTCTGCTACTTAATCAGCCTGTATCAAGGGAGGCGCACTGTGTCTTCAGTTCTAGGCATTTATAGAGCATAGCCAATGCGCTAGGTTCTTAACACAGGTGTTACTTCGTTAACCCTATACTACAGAGGACAAAGCAGAAGCTCAAAGGCAGCACTGCTACAGTACCGCACTTAGCGTCACACCACGACGCTGACTCCTAGGCCCTTTCTGCCCCGCAGCGAGAGTTGGGGTAGAGCGATGACCGGCGCCGGGGTCTTCGGGACCGCAGCGCTCAACTCTGCCGGCTTGGTTAGCAGAGGGACCGGATCCGAGGCAGCGAACGGGAAAAGGGTGCTTCAGGACCGCTACGCAGGGGCTGCCTCGCCGGGCTAAGGGATAAAACTAGAGCACTAGAGCGCTTCGTTAGAAGTCGGAAAGGCCTCGCCTTAGCCCAGGATCCGCGTTAGAGGTCTGCCTCCAGGGCCGCGTGCCCCGCCCACGCACGCATGCGCCGACCCCTCCTCCCGCGCAGCTCCGGCCCCGCCCTCAGGATTGACCGCCCGAGCCACCGTCCGCACAGCCCCGCCCCGCACGGCCAGGCGAAGGAGAGCCGGTGGTGCCCTGTGGTGTGCGCGCGCGCGCGCGTGTTTGTGTGTGTGTGAGTGTGTTTGTGTGTGTGTGTGTGTGTGTGTGTGTATGTATATGTGTTCGTGGGGCACCGTCTCAGCCCCGGGAAGATGGTGGCGGCGGCGGCGGCGACTGAGGCGAGGCTGAGGAGGAGGACGGTGGCGACGCCAGCGCCCGGGAGCAGGAACAGCTGGCGGTGCCGGGACTGGGACGCGATCAGGGCTGGGAGGCCAGGGCTGGGGACCCGGCTGCGCCTCCCACGGCGGCGGCGGCGGCTGCTGCTGTTGCTGCTGCTCCCGCCGCTGCTGCTGCTTCCCTGGGCAGCTGAGGCCGCGGCGGCCTCGACGGCGGTGTCGGGCTCAGCCGCAGCAGAGGCCAAGGAATGCGACCGGCCCTGTGTCAACGGCGGCCGCTGCAATCCTGGCACTGGCCAGTGCGTCTGCCCCGCCGGCTGGGTGGGCGAGCAATGCCAGCACTGCGGGGGCCGCTTCAGGTGAGTGGTGTGGGGGGGTGTCGGAGGGTAGGGCTCAGCCAGAGGCCGAGGCTTAAGGGCCGCTCGAGACGGCCCCAGGCCGGAGGCGGCTGCCCGACAGAAAGTGGGGGGGATAGGGCCGCCCCATGGTGTTTGAGGACCATTTGCTTCCTGGGAGATCATCGTCTCTGGTCTGGGGTCTTCCTGTAAGAGAAGTTGAAAAGGTTCGAGGCAAGGGTGGGGGCACCCCAAAGGGGTTTGGGCGCGGCGGACTACATGGGACGAAAGCTTAGGATCCCGAAGAGTTTCAAAGCCAGTCTCTGAAACTGGGCCTCTTTTGGAAAAACGAGGTATAAAAGAAAAGGTGAGAGAGCCAGTCTTCCTTAAACACTTCTTTGGAACATCCCCTCGTTCTCTAGAGCCTGATGAGTTCCTGGACTGATTGGAGATGTGGGGTACTCCGAAGAAACAGGGCCCTGGGAGAGATTCGTTGTCTGGAGATAGAAGGGAAAAGGGTAGGATTGTGAGATATTAGAGACAGAAGAACCATCGGTTATTGGCTAAAGGAAAGTGAAGAAACTAGCCTTTGGAAGCTCACTGGAGGAGGCGGATTGGAACAAGGTCTGTCATGGAGAGGGCATCGAAGGAGGTTCCTTTTTGCCCTGGTTTCTGGAGAATATGGAGTTCTGAGTTGGCCTGGTTCAGGGCAGTACCTCTTGGAGAGATCATTCATTAATTAATTAGTAGTTAACTATTATTTGCTTTAGTTGTGCAAGGATTTCTGGATAATACAAACAAATAGATTAGCCAGACTTTGGCCTAGTCCACAAGGAGTTTGGAATATAGCTAGAGAAAGATTTGTACATAGATAACCATAATCATAAGGGCTCCAGAGTCATTCATGCTTTTGGCAGATATTTACTGAATTTTTTTGATGTCAGATAGGGAAGAGTGGGGAAATATGAAGAACAAGACAGACAGGGTCCCTGCTCTCATAGATCTTACATTCTAGTGGGGAGACAGACAAGAAGTAAATAAATAAGTGAAAGAAAAGAACAAATAATTTTAGGTAATGGTAAGTGCTGTCAAGAAGGTAAGTCAGGATGGCCTGATAGACAATTATAACCAGTTGGTAACTTTAGGAGAAGGCACTCATTTGAAGTGACATTTGATCTGAGACCTGAATGAGGTAAGGGAGAACCTGTGGGAATTCAGGGGCAGAGAGGGTGTGACTAGCTGAGGGGGTACAAGGGATATTTTGAGGAGGAGGTGACGTTGGATTTGAGTACTTGAGGATAGTAGGATTTGGAAGTGTGGCACTGGGAAAAAAATTTCAGATGGAACAAAGGATGCAAACAAAATTGTGGAGACAGAAAGTAAAGTATTGCTAGTGCCAGGGTATATAGAAGAGAATTGCGAGAGAGAAGTTTGGAACCGTAGAATTATAGACTCACGTAATGTCAGATCTTCAAGGGAACACGGAGAACGTTGAAGAGCTGAGCTCTTTTGTCGTTATGGAGAAAGCAAGTGATTTCAAGACTAGTGTACTGTAGGGCCAGCCTTGTACCTTTACTTAGGGTTCTGGGTAATGTGGTTCTGGTTTATGAACTACATTAATCTACACAAACTTGTTTAGGGCTACTCTGGGTTGGGTTATGAGATTACAGTGGTTAACGAGACAGACACAGTCCTGCTCTTACGGAGCTTACATTCTAGCTTGGGAACAGTAATCAATTTCTTATGATTTTTCTTAAAGCTGTGGAAGTGAGTAGGAGGGGGCAAACGGAGGACTTGATTTAGTTTGGAAAGGTAAGGTTAGTGTCTGAATAAGTGGCTTTTGAGTTGAGATCTGAAGGGTGAAATGCCACCACCTACATGGGAGGTGGGGTGCTAAGGGTCCAGTATTTACAGAGGCTTGGAGATGAGAGGGATCATGGCAGGATGGATAGAAAGCCAGGTGGCTGGAGCAGAGAGAGCAAAGGGGAGCAAGACTGGTGAGATAGGAGCCAGGCCTTGTGGAGCCCTGTTGGTTGGGTTGAGAATTTTGACCTTTAGTCTGTGAGCAGTAGAATAGCATAGTTCATCTTGTTTTCATGACATTACAGGCTTTTAGATTGGTGCCAGAGCAGGAATGGCCTTTGAAGATGGGGCCAGACCATTTTGAATTTGAGGAACTTCCACGATCAAGTGAATGGATGGTTGGGTCAGAGGAGAGTTCTTCAAGTTCTGAAAATCTGGGATGCCTTAGTAGACCGTGGGGGTGCACAGGGTGGGGAGGGATATATATAGCTAGATCAGTCTGTCTGTAATGTTCAGAGAAGGTGGACTCACTTTAAGCATGAGAGATGGTGGGCAACTAGATTGGAACTGTTGACATGGGTCAGGACAGCAGTAACGAGAACTTGAGATAAGCTGTGGGAATGGAGGCAGGGTTAGGTGCTCGGTGGTATTGTAGAGGTGAGTGACAGATCTTTCTTTGAAACTGGCTTGCTCTTGGGAAGAGAGAGGGGGATGGTGAAGGAAAGAAAACTAGATCCTATCTTAGGTGATTGAGAGGACGGTGTTACCATTAACAGACACAGGGACACAGGAGGAGCAGATTTGAGATGTTTAATTTTGCACATACGGAGATTGGACTGTTCACAGGGTTTCTACCTTGTGGGACAGGTGTAAGTATTGGAGTCATCTACATATAGAGAAAGCAGGTCCAAGTGTCCATGTGGACAGTCCAGAGGATTGGAGAAAAGCTACTTGTTAGGGGGAATATCCAGTCCTGACACTGGTTGTCTCAAATGGCGTCATCCGTGAGTGAAGGGGCACCCCTGGTTGTTGTGGACACTCCACTTGAGCCAGTTCCAGCTGGTGTCAGTGCTCTTTCCTGGGCAAAGAGTTATGACCTTTATTCTGATAATTTCATTATATTTTGTGGGATTCTCGAATTTGCATTTTAAAAAAAGGAAAGTAAGGGACTTCCCTGGTGGTCCAGTGGTAAAGAATCCACCTTCCAATGCAGGGGACGCAGGTTCGATCCCTGGTCAGGGAACTAAGATTCCCCCATGCCACGGGCAACTAAGCCCACACCACAACTACTGAGCTCGCAAACCTCAACTAGAGAGCCCGCATGCCGCAAACTACAGAGCCCACGCGCTCTGGAACCTGCACACCACAACTAGAGAGAGAAAACCCACACACCACAACTAGAGTGAAGCCCGTGTGCCCAACAAAAGATCCCACATGCCTCAGCGAAGATCCTGCATGCTGCAACTAAGACCCGATGCAGCCAAAGATAAATAAATAATAAATCTTAAAAAAAAAGAAGCAATATTTAAAAAAAGTGAAAGTAAGAGGAACTTACATTTCTAGGCTTTAAAAAGAAACCTTTCATTAAATTTTTAGTTGTAGGATTTTTTAGGGGAAGAGTGAAATGTTGGTTTTCATTATGTGTTGGTATGTGTCTCGATTTAACTTACAAACCTCTTTGTTATTAACCTTCGAGACATTAGAATGAATACCTTTCTGGTTTGGGTCAGCATTAGGTTGGTGTGATTTTTAAGCCTTTTAGTTCCATAAATCCTGTGTTACAATTGCTGTTATAAGGTCCTTTTCATTAATTGAAAGGAACGTAGGATAATAAGAGGGTTAGATTTCACTAAAGTTATCATACTGAGTCCATACTACATGCCACGGACTGGATCAGGCATTTTCATGTATATTGTGCCATTTAATCTTCAGGACAACTCTGAGGGTGTTGTTTACAATTTGGATTGTTGTGTGGTTATAGTTAGAAAATCACTTAATTTTTTTCCCAAATGTAAGATACTATAGAAATGATTAATTACAGAGGATAAAGTTAATGGTGTCAGTTTAATAAAAATAACTATGAAATCTTTGGTGGATGATTTCTAAAGCAATGCCAGTTCCATTCATTTTTATGTGATTCAGTAATCATGTTTTTCTACTTGTGATATTGCCATCGAAACTTTTGTTTGGAGGATAAATATATCACATTAAGTTAGAAAATAAAGATGTTAAGCTCATTTATGAAATTAATATGCATTTAATTCTTTTAAGTTCCTGTATACAACTTCTGGGAGGTTAGAATACAATAACCTGCTGAATTAGAGCCTTATAGTTGCCCATGATATTAATACTGTCTATAGAAGAAAAAGAAAGGCATTTATTCAGCATTTGTTTTGTGCACAGCACATTGCAGTAATAGTAGTAGTAATAGTTGCAGCAGTAGCTGCTTCAATTTTTCTAGCATTTCTCCATTTTTTCCAGGTGTTGTGTCAAGGGCCTTTTAGAAATTATTCTTTTTAATCCTTAGAGTGAAGTTATTCCCATTTCACAGTTGGGTAAACCGAAGCTTGGAGATACAGAGTAACTTGCCCAAGGTTACACAACTTGTGAAAAATTGAGATTTGAACTCAGGCCTTGTCTAATTCCCAAACATATGCTTTCCTTTATACCATTTGGCCTCTCATTTTTTCTGAGTCTAGTCATCCTTTATGGACATTATTTGGAAGGGCTGACATAATCCCAACACTCTGAGAAACAAAGGAGGGAAAATAGGTTTGTTACAATAGGAAAGCTAGCATAAAAAAAAAATCTTAATTTACTTGAATCTGTCTGGCTACTGGCCTGAGGACATAAATATGTTTTTCTAACTAGTGAAGTGAAAATTCTGGAAAATAAAATTTGATAAAAGAAGGTAAAATAAATACTTATTTTGCTTACAGTAATTACTAAGAAGTATTAACCTGAAGCCCTAAATTTATGTTCATGAATCAAATTTAGACTTGTCTGTTTTTCCCAGTAGAATATAAGCTCCACGAGGCAGGAATTTTTATCTGTTTTGCTCACTGTTATATTCCCAGAGCCTAGAGCAGTGGCTGAGACATAGTGCTCAATAACTATCGTTGAATGAAGGAATGAAGTTCTGCTATATATTCTTTATGACTTAAAAAAAAGCCATCTGTACCTATATGACTGCCGTGTTTGTCTTTTGTCCTTTTATTTCT